CACCTTTAAATGTTCAGCCAGTTCATTCATAATTAAATGTTTTCCTACTTAAGTGATATGAACTGCACCAGTTCCACTATATTGTTGATATTAAAGTAATAAAATATTTTGTTTCACAGGTTCCCTTGTTGTTTTGTTTTTGTAATGTTTAAGTGTTTATTGCATAATATATGCATACATCTAGCATCTATTCTGTTCTAGGTTTGTAGTTTAACAGTTTTATAGCTATGGGTAGTCTATTGCCATTTATTTTCTTCAGTTGTACTGTAATGTGCTAGAATAAATCTGGCATATGGGTTAATTTGACCCAGCATTTGGGTATCCTATATAACAAATATGTAGTTGAATGAACCCAGAATTGTAATTAATTTGACCCAGCATTTGGGTAGAATATTTAACTCATCAGTTGGGTTAAAAATTACCAACCCATCTTGCTAGGTCAAATTAACTACTGTTGGTCTGGTGCAATATTGATCCAGCGGTTGGGTTATAAAACAACCCAAGTTGGGTTATTTTTAACCCATCATTTTTAAGTGTGTATGATTTCCTTTCTTCGGATCAACACAGAGATTTATAATCCATATTATAAATATTATATTATAACAATCCATGTTATAACACAGAGATAAATAATCCATCTAGTCCATAAACTGCAAATGTACCGGTCCACTTAAATTCATGCGGAAACACTTTATTTCCAATTGTCTGGTCATGTGATCTCAACAAACATGTCTATCCACACGAGAAGACCCGCTCCATGTTAAATAAAACCGCTTTAATTATGACACTCATATGACATTCTTCAGAAATATCATTCATTTCTGTAGATCATTTTAATAAGGACCGAATGAAACTAACCTGTTTGTTCCTCGGTATCTTCATGTTTCACGCTGAACACTTCTTCAATCTTTATGTCTTCACTCTCCTGTTTAATCAACGCCATCTTTATAATAGTGTCACGTGGATTTCAGATGTTTCTCCAGGAGTTTTCCTGTGTGTTTGGACAATTTGTCATGTTTAAGATGAGAATAATTAACAGAAAGAGAAATAGATCCACAGTAAATCTCTGTGTGTCTCAATCAGCTGTAGTTCAGTAGTTCAGCGCACTGGTGAGGGAGTCAGTCAGAGAGAGAGTTCATGGACTCAAATCACTCAAAACAAGCACACAAAATAATAAAATAAATTATACAGACACTTCATATTTAATGATTTGTACATTTTTACAGATTACATTGTCATGAAACCATTTACGATTTGTTCATAAAATGTATAATTATTAATAATTTTGTTTTCGTCTTATTTTTACACTGTTTTGAGCGGCAGGATTCGTCAGCGCGCGGTGATTCAAGCGCTTCGAATCAGTGAATCATTTGGCAAAGCATTAGATTCAATTGACTCTATCGAAAAGCTCCGTTTCTCCATCACCACTTTCCAAAACCTGAATTCGTGTTTACGATAAACTAATAAACGATATAGTGCGCGAAATGAGCCGTTACTGTTACTTTTCTGTTATGTGAACACGCTTTACTCGCAAAAAAACCCCTGAATATTGTTACATTAAGCATATTACAAAGATAAATAATACATGGTCACAAACCTCTTCAAAACTATCAAATCGAAGTGTATCGATTTAAATGCGCAAAACCACAAACATTTCTTCAGTCTAATCACAACAGTTGCAGGAGCACGGCGCAGCTTTATGATGTCATATCGACAGACCAAAATAAAAGTCCTGTGCAATCTGCTGTCCAATATCCAGTCCACAGAGGTGCAAAGGTGCAATAGTTAGTCAACTAATTAGTGAATTTGGGTGGCTGAGTTCATGGGTGGAATAAACATCTGGCAGGACTTTTACTTTCTGACCCCTGGACTTTACACCTCTGGTCTGGAAATATATAATAGATGTCATGGGAATTCATGGTGAAATATATATTTTAATACATGTTGTTCAATTATGTGATGAAAAAGATTAATAATCACTAATAACTTGTTAAAAAGATTGTATGAGTTCTTAAAGCACAGTTAATATGTGTCAGCATTGAAATGCATTTATCATCCACAAAAATCAGTAGAAGATAGCTAAAATAAAATAAAAAGCAATACAAAGTTAAGGTTAATACTAATGCTAAAAAGTATTGACAAAAATCCATTATTCTGCATGTCACCTGGTCGTTGTGGTTCCCTGTGTTTGTCTTTTCTGGTGTTCTATATTCAGTGTTGGGAGTAACCCGTTACAAAAGTAATGCATTACAGTAACGTATTACTTTTCGCTGTAAGGCAGTAGTGTAAGGCATTGCTAATCAATTTTCAGTAATATTTTACTCGGTACATGTTCAGTAATGCTTGCGTCGTTACAATACACTTTTAGCCCAAAATTTAATTGTTAAAAAAATAAAATAAAAAAATAAACATGCACGACATTAACAAATGAAAATGCAAGTAAGATATTACCTGTTCGTGGTCAGTCAATAGCCGCATGTGGTGTCCAAGTTTGTAAATAAAGACTAAATGACAGCTTCTGATTTGTATAGGGAGATTTGAATCTCCCTCTTGCTGGTGTCCTTTGTATTGTGTGACATAGTCCAGTGAAGGTTTAGGTCAGGTTTTACAGGAGTGATTTCGGCCTCTGTGCTCGCGCTGGCCACTGGAAAAGTGGCTAATGTGTTAAGATGGCAGAAGAAGACAGTACATTCAAGAGATGGACGTATGCGCATTACTTCCAGTTTGTCAGAGATAAGGACAAGAAGAACGGAATAACGGATTTTTGTCTAAAAACAAAAGAACTATCGACGTCGCGAAATGGCACTAGCAATTTAAAAAAATATCTCGAACGGTGCCATGCGACCACTCCACTTACTGAAAAGAGAAAAAAAAAACTATTTTTAACTATTAGCCTGGATTGCCCACAGTCATTATGCCACATCATATCACCTTCTACAGGATGTAAAATGCTTTGTATTTTGTCATTTTAGAATGTTATTAAGTTCTACTTCTGTAGTTATTTTGGTGAAAGTAACTCAAAAGTAATAAAGGAGTAATGTAACGCATTACAATTCTGAGACAGTAATATTGTAAGGTAAATAATTAATTTTAAATAACAGTAACAAGTAATCTATAATGTATTACAGTTTGGAAGTAACTTGCACAACACTGTCTATAATACACATCTTTATCTTTGTCTGTGACAGATGTCCATCCTGTTAAGCATTTACAAATGATTTTAAAAAGTCAGCAATAAATAAAGTGTCAATGAAAATGTATTGAAGTGTCAATACTTAAAAAGTTTTTCTTTAAAAACAGTAAGTAGAATTACATAATACAAATACATATTTGTTAAAAAAAAAAAGGTCTTTTGCCTTAAAAAAGGTTTCATTTGATTGATAAAACTTGTTATTGTATAATAATAAAATGTTAGTTTATGAAATAGTTTATTATACTTTGTTTTGTCTTTTATTTAGACAGAATCTCACATATTAGTTGTGCTCAGTGTTGTGCAAGTTACTTCCAAACTGTAATACATTATAGATTACTTGTTACTGTTATTTAAAATTAATTATTTACCTTACAATATTACTGTCTCAGAATTGTAATGCGTTACATTACTCCTGTATTACTTTTGAGTTACTTTCACCAAAATAACTACAGAAGTAGAACTTAATAACATTCTAAAATGACAAAATACAGAGCATTTTACATCCTGCAGAAGGTGATATGATGTGGCATAATGACTGTGGGCAATCCAGGCTACTAATAGTTAAAAAGTTGTTTTTTTTTCTCTTCTCAAGCCCCGTTCACACTACACGCGACCAAGCGACGCGATACCATTCATTTCAATGGTGAGCGGGCGACTTCCGGCAACACGCGCGACAGCGACCGTTTGCGACTAGATGGGGCGTGTCTAGCGACGCGACAAAGTTGAGAAATTTTTAACTTTATGCAAATGAAGAGCGATTTTCGCGAGCGACAACCAATAGGAGTGGAGCGCACGTGATCCTTCTCCTCAGCCCCTGGGCCTGCAGTGATGGATGGCAAGAAAGCTGATTCGCTGTCTTTTGGATGTCATACTAGTCAACCAGTAGTGGGAACGCCCACTAGCGACCTCATCGCCAGCGCCTGGCGACTTGCAGCGACAAAGTCGCGTGTAGTGTGAACGGGGCTTCAGTAAGTGGAGTGGTCGCATGGCACCGTCCAAGATATTTTTTTAAATTGCTAGTGCCATTTCGCGACGTCGATAGTTCTTTTGTTTTTAGACACTTAAGCAAAATGCACCTGGACACGAACTGCTGTAAAGCCAAAACAATCTATGTTACTTTAATTTCCTATTGTAACTGTAAAGCAGCAGCTTTACAGTTTGAAACAATCTATATTGTTAAAAGCGCTTTATAAATCGCCAAGCAACTCCCCAGATCTTACCCTATAGAGAACTTGAGGTAAATCCTCATAAGGCAAGTGGACAAGCAGAAGCCCAGAAATTGTGATGAACTCCAAGCACTAATAAGGCAAGAGTGGGTCGTCATTAGTCAAGATTTGGCCCAAAAGCTGATATCCAGCATGCCAGACTGAATTACAGAGGTTATGAAGAAGAGTCAACACTGTACATATTGACTCTTTTCATAGTTTTTGCTAATAAAAGCCATTAAAAGTTATAGAATACTCAACATTATTTCCCCGTATACCATAGAAACGTGAAAAATATAATCTGTAATTTTAATCTAAAAGTAAAATGTGTGAAACACATTTGTCACTGCCAATATATTGGCCACAGCTGTAGTGCACACAATTCATCAGGTACTAGTGGAATACAACAGAAACTAAAGAGGATATTTAAATGGAAGTAACAGAGTTGTAATCTTTCAGAGAGTAAGAGCAAAGACGAGGAAACATGAAGGACATGAACATCCAGATAAACAATACACTGGAAGTCTCAAATTGTTCATGAAGAGTCTTTCTTCTGTCTTACTCGTACAGTTTTACAGGGTAATACAATGGAGAGACCAGACGCTGACTGTGTGTCTGTGCTGGGGTGATATAGTGTTCGTGATGAAGGGATAAAGGGAAATAGGTAAGCTTGAGAACTCTGGTAAGTGTGAGTGACGTATAGCTGGGAGCGTCAGGAGTGTAATCTTGACAATAATGTTCTTGGACGCACAGTGGGACACAATGAAGTTGAATTACATGAAGAACAATGCCCAACTGGCCCTAGAGAGGGTTCAACCATTTGGTGTTGTGAAGGTATTCTAGGACTTAGGTTCTCACTAGCACCTCCAGGCAGTGACGCAACACTTGATAGCAAGGAGCTCACAGTCACCAATGTCGTAGTTCTGCTCTGCTGGGAAGAGCTTTGTGAAGTAGGCGCATAGATGGTGCGTGGACAGATTCCTCTTCTGCGGAGACAACACTGCTCCAATGCCTGAGGTGGCGATATCCACTTCCACCACAAAGGGGAGGTAGGGGTGGCATGAATGATGATAGGTATTGTTGGTGGATTGCAGTGGTTTCCTGCTACATTTTTCGTTCTAGATGGAGAGGCGGCAGCATCCCTTCCCCAAGATTATAGCAAACATTGCGTTTTTTATCTTTTTGCTCTCTGGATGAATTTTGCAATGGGCAAATACTACTTGGAAGTAGTCCTCATCATGCAATTAGCAGTGAGGCAGGATCAGTGGTGAAGCACCTGCAGCTCTAACAAACTTCCAGATGTCACCAGATGAGCCCCTACAGTAGCCATATTCAAGTCCAGATTGAAGACATTATCAATGCATTCTCTCACTAACAATTAAGCAAATAATGTGGTGTAATGTTCTTATTTCATTCAGTTTTTGAAATTTTATGTTGTGGCGAGCAGGATGAGGCCGAGGGGCGTGAGAGAACGGCGCGAGGCCGGTGGCGTGAGTGATAATGAATGACACCTGTGAGACGCACCGGTCTCGCATCTCTCACGGAGGAGCGGAAGCATAAAGGATGAGCGACGACAGTGAAGATCGAGAGAGGAACAGGCCTGATTTTAATGTTGTGTTTTGTTTCTGTTTTGTGTGGCCAGCAGTCGTCCGCGAGGGGCTGCTGGCATACTTTCATTTTTGTATTTGTTTATTTATTTATTTATTAAAATGGTTGAATGTTCGCCGGTTCCCGCCTCCTTCTTCCCATAACATCTGAACCCTGTTACATTGGTGCCGAAACCCGGGAAGGAAGAAGGAGGTGGGAACTGGCGAACATTCAACCATTTTAATAAATAAACAAATACAAAAATTAAAGTATGCCAGCAGCATACATTTTCAAGATTCAAATGTAAAAAAAGTACAATTTTGGTCATGGTGATTACGTAGGTATGAATTTAAACAAATTTGCAAATCGTGACATCACTTACATGGGTTACATTCTTATATAGCTTTAAATATGCTGTACTGTCAGAAAAGTAAACAAAAATATATATCATATGAAAATATATATTTAATTTCAATGGTTACTGGTTACTAGGTTATACTGTTTTACTTGCATCCACCGCTGGGTATCAATGCAACCTACAAACCAGAGACCAGTTATGTTGCTTTCTAGGGTTGTCACTTTTCTGAAAAAATCCTGTTAGATTTGTGACATAAGTGTTCATTGAATCGATTGTAAAATCGATTTTCCATGTCTAGAGACGTTTCCATTTTCAGCGCCAAATATAGGCAAATCCACGGACAGCTAGCAGGCATTATGACGTAAAGAGGGCGCTTGAGACTCACACAAGTCAGCCATATTTCTGAGGATTTATTGGCGTAAAGTTTTGTGCACAATGACAAACAGAAGTGCAAAATTCTCGAAAGACATTAAGCAGAGTGGAGTGCCATAACATCAATGAAAAACATCCTTCAGGTGAGTCGACACGGTCACCATTAGACTAGAGGGGAGAAGGGATGGGAAAAGATCTGGGCACAGTGTTTCCAGAACATCATGCCAAGTTAAAGCGGTGTTGAGATGTTTTAATGCATTTTTTAGATGTATTATGGCAAACCTGTATGACTTTGAACGGTGAACACAAACATTTTATTTACTGCAGCCATCATTACTAATCGTGAACCACTGACAGTGAATGAAATGAAGCGAACGTACAGGCCATAGTGTGACATGCGTAAACCAACGGTGTAAACAATCATAGATGACACCACGGGTTTTAATTTTAAAAAAAGAACGTAGCCTACGTAGAAAGTATGCAGCCTAGGCAATTTTATTTACAATACTAAAGTATAATTAATATTATTTTATTGCATTTGTATTAGTTGTTTAAAGAGTAAAAAAAATAAAAAATCAGTCTGTCTTAACGCAAGTTTACAACCGGCAAGTCGATCGGACTAAAAGGGTTAAAAAAATAATAATAATAATTGGGTCGGTCCTAAATTGGTCGTGTTACGGCAAACAAGAATATGTTTAAGGATGGCCTGAATGATAATGTGAAACCTAATATTTTCAACTAAAGCTTTTCTCCAGTGTGAACTCTCATGTGGACATTAAAGTTGTATTTTTTAGTGAAACTCTTTCCACACTGTTGGCAGGTGAAAGGACACTCTCCAGTGTGAAGTTTCATGTGGTCTTTAAGCCTTTGTTTTTGATTGAAACTCTTTGCACACTGTTGGCATGTGAAAGGCTTTTCTCCAGTGTGAATTCTCATGTGTGAATTAAGTGTGATTTTATGTGTAAAACTCTGTTCACAATGAGAGCAAGTATAAGGCTTTTCTCCAGTGTGAATTCTCATGTGGACATTAAGGTTGTATTTTTGAGTGAAACTCTTTCCACACTGTTGACAGTTGAAAGGACTCTCTCCAGTGTGAAGTTTAATGTGGTCTTTAAGCCTTTGTTTTTGATAGAAACTCTTTCCACACTGTTGGCAGGTGAAAGGACTCTCTCCAGTGTGGATTCTCATGTGGACATTAAGGTTTTGTTTTTGATTGAAACTCTTTCCACACTGTTGGCAGGTGAAAGGACTCTCTCCAGTGTGAATTCTCATGTGGACATTAAGGTTTTGTTTTCGATTGAAACTCTTTCCACACTGTTGGCAGGTGAAAGGCTTCTCTCCAGTGTGAATTCTCACGTGGGAATTAAGGATGTGTTTATGAGCAAAACTCTGTTCACAATGAGAGCAAGTATAAGGCTTTTCTCCAGTGTGAATTTTCATGTGGGCTTCGAGGCTTTGCATTTGAGTAAAACTCTTTCCACACTGTTGGCATGTGAAAGGCTTCTCTCCAGTGTGAACTACCATGTGGGACTTAAGGCTTCGTTTTTGACTGAAACTTTTTCCACATTCCAGGCAAGTGAAATAACTGTTAGGTTTGGTCTTCTGGGCTCTTTTTTGTGAGTGAGTCTTTTCCATCTTTGTTGATTTCTCTCCAGTCTTGAAATCATGATGTTCATATTCCATATTATTCAGTTCTTGACTCTCCTCTTTCAGCGGCATTAAGTCTAAAGCGAAAAAAGACAAATACAAGTTAACACCAGTTTAATGGCAACACACAGCTGACAACCTCAAGGCTTAACTAATTGATGACTAGCTGGGAAAGTGTTTGCATGCGTTTACGATAGGGGTGTGACGGTTATTATATAACCGTGAGACCGACGGTTATAGTTGAACACCGTCATTAGAACTCTATAACCGCCAAAACAGTTATAATATTTTTTACAAACATTTTTTATCATAGAGAATGTTTAAATACTAATATCAGCTTACGAGGGAAACAGAGGTGGAGTTAGTGGTGCCTCGGACTCCCAAGTTCGGAGGCACTACTGCTGGAGATGATTCGGGAGAGGTCTGTGCCCCTTTACCGATCAGAGCGCGCACTGACACGGAGCGCGCGGTTTATACTAACCGCTGACACGGTTTATACTCAACGCGTCCGCACGAGCGTGAAGCTGCGCGCGGCAAAAATGACGCGTTGGGTGCGCAAGACCGGCTAGACCGGCAAGACCCCATTTCGCTTGGCGGTGTGCACGGCTTTTTTTGTAAAAGCGCGCGCGTGCCGCATCCGAGGATGAACGACTTCAAGCCGAATCTGCCCGAGCATGTACATCTCACCCACAGCACCCCAACATGCAAGGCACTTGAGGCAAAACAAGAACAAATACAATTTACGAAACTCCAGCTCATTAAATTATGCAAAACAAGATGAAACTCAGCACGTGAGGTGTTTGGAAGACTTCTTGTTCTGTCTGACCAAACGGTTACAAAGCTGCAAGAAGCCAGGGGTCCGTTCTTAGTACGTCGCTAAATACATCCGAGATCAGATGGCACATCCAAGATGATATCATCGTGCTAATCATGATCTGGTTAAATAGCTTCTTCAAACACACCTATTGTTTATGATTAGTATCGCTGGATTTAGTTATCTGAGATAACTGTGCGTTCATGCGTTGGTTTAAAATGGGATATGTATTGATAGAAATATTAATCAGCAACGTTGCTATTGGCTGCTCACCATTGCCAAAGAGTGCGCAGAGTTTTTCTCTGAGCAGAGCAGAGCAAGAGCTAATAGTCGAAGTACAGGTCCTTCTCAAAAAATTAGCATATTGTGATAAAGTTCATTATTTTCCATAATGTAATGATACAAATGAAACTTTCATATATTTTAGATTCATTGCACACCAACTGGAAATATTTCAGTTCTTTTATTGTTTTAATACTGAGGATTTTGGCATACATCTCAAAAAATTAGCATATCATGAAAAGGGTCTCTAAACGAGCTATTTACCTAATCCTTTGAATCAACTAATAAACTCTAAACACCTGCAAAAGATTCCCCAGCCTGTTTCATTACTCAAAACCGCAATCATGGGTAAGACGGCCGACCTGACTGCTGTCCAGAAGGCCATCATTGACACCCTCAAGCAAGAGGGTAAGACACAGAAAGAAATTTCTGAACAAATAATAATAATAATAATAATAATATGTTTATTTTATATAGCGCCTTTCAGAGTACTCAAGGTCGCTTTACAATAAAGTACAAATAAACCTGACAGAAACATGACATAGAACAAAAAATAAATTGAGATAGTGGTACATAAACATAGAAATCAAGGGAAACAAGTAGCAAAAAGATACGTTTTTAGGTGAGTTTTGAAATCGTGTAATGATGAAAGGTTGCGGATGTGTTGGGAAATAGAATTCCAGAGAGTTGGGGCAGCAGTACAAAAAGCCCTTCCACCATATGATGATAGTTTGTGCCGTGGGATCGTTAAAAGACCGGTATCGGAGGATCTAAGTGTGCGAACTGGGGAGTAGGTATGGATGAGATCAGAGATATAGGTGGGGGCAAGACCATGGAGTGCTTTGAATGTGATAAGGAGTATCTTGTAGTTAATACGAAAACGTACTGGTAGCCAATGTAGTCTGCGTAAAATCGGAGTAATGTGGGAAGATTTCTTTGTGAATGTAAGCACCCTAGCTGCGGAGTTCTGAATGTATTGGATTTTATTTATAGATGAGTTGGGTAAGCCATAGAAAAGAGAATTGCTGTAATCAAGCCGTGATGTGATGAAAGCATGAACCAAGGTTTCAGCATCGCTGGTGTTCAGAAATGGACGTAAGCGTGCGATATTACGAAGGTGAAAGAAGGCAGACTTTGTGAGAGAGGAAATGTGTGGAAGGAAGGAAAGAGATGAATCAAAGATTATACCAAGGTTTTTGACAATAGTGGAAGGTTGAACCGAAACTCCAGCAATGTGAACATTGTCAACACTGGAACAGGATGTAAATCGAGGTGAGCCAATAAGAAGTAGATCTGTTTTATCAGTGTTGAGTTTGAGAAAATTACTGGTCATCCAAGCATTTATATCATCAATACAGGCTGATATGGAATTTGTGGGAAAAGGAGCATTGCTTGTGAATGGATGTATAGTTGGGTGTCATCTGCGTAGCAATGGAATTTAAAGTCATGTTGACGGATGATGTTACCTAATGGGAGCATATAGATGATGACGAGAAGGGGCCCAAGAACAGAACCCTGGGGAACACCGTGTGGGACAGAGGCAGTAGTGGACTTAGCCTGGCGGATAGAGATGTAATGCTGACGATCAGACAGGTAGGAAGTTAACCAAGATAGGGCAGTTCCAGAAACACCAAGAGCAGAGAGTCGTGAGATGAGAATACTGTGAGAGATTGTGTCGAATGCAGAGGAAATATCTAGAAGAATTAGAATACTGGTGGAGCCGGAGTCAGTGGCCATAAGGAGATCATTGACAACCCTAAGAAGTGCTGTCTCAGTGCTGTGGAGGGTGCGGAAAGCGGATTGAAAACATTCATAGTGGTTGTTAGATGACGTGTGTTTGAAGTTGGGCAGCAACCACTTTCTCAAGCAGTTTCGAAAGAAATGGTAAATTTGAGATTGGTCTGTAATTGGCCATGTTGGTGGGGTCGAGGCCGGGTTTCTTTAGGACAGGAGTGACAGCAGCAGTTTTTAATTCCAGAGGAACAGAACCAGTACTTAGTAGTTGGGAGATGAGAAGTGAAATCAGCAAAGAAATAACAGGTGCACATTTTTTAAGTAAAGTAGTAGGAGCTGGATCAAGATGACAGGAAGATGTGTTTGCTTTGTTGATTAGCTCAGAGATATAAGCAGGGGTTGGGGGGGCAAAATCAGTGAGAGTACCAGGAGTAAAAGCAGTGGCGAAGTCATGTGTGTAAACAGGAGAGATCAAATAGGCTGTTCCCAGAGTGCTGTATCAAGGCACCTCAGTGGGAAGTCTGTGGGAAGGAAAAAGTGTGGCAAAAAACGCTGCACAACGAGAAGAGGTGACCGGACCCTGAGGAAGATTGTGGAGAAGGACCGATTCCAGACCTTGGGGGACCTGCAGAAGCAGTGGACTGAGTCTGGAGTAGAAACATCCATAGCCACCGTGCACAGGCGTGTGCAGGAAATGGGCTACAGGTGCCGCATTCCCCAGGTCAAGCCACTTTTGAACCAGAAACAGCGGCAGAAGCGCCGGACCTGGGCTACAGAGAAGCAGCACTGGACTGTTGCTCAGTGGTCCAAAGTACTTTTTTCGGATGCAAGTAAATTTTGCATGTCATTCGGAAATCAAGGTGCCAGAGTCTGGAGGAAGACTGGGGAGAAGGAAATGCCTGAAGTCCAGTGTCAAGTACCCACAGTCAGTGATGGTCTGGGGTGCCATGTCAGCTGCTGGTGTTGGTACACTGTGTTTTATCAAGGGCAGGGTCAATGCAGCTAGCTATCAGGAGATTTTGGAGCACTTCATGCTTCCATCTGCTGAAAAGCTTTATGGAGATGAAGATTTCATTTTTCAGCACGACCTGGCACCTGCTCACAGTGCCAAAACCACTGCTAAATGGTTTACTGACCATGGTATTACTGTGCTCAATTGGCCTGCCAACTCTCCGCCCTGAACCCCATAGAGAATCTGTGGGATATTGTGAAGAGAAAGTTGAGAGACGCAAGACCCAACACTCTGGATGAGCTTAAGGCCGCTAGATAGATAGATTGTTTATTTAGCCACACGACAATGCCGGTGGAATTCGTTTTCGGTACAGTATGTTTGAGCACTACATCATGTGTATGCATTACAAACAACAGATCGACAATACATTTCACAACAAGTGACAGTGCAAGATACAGTGGTTAAGTGACCGTGCATAGTGTATAGACTACTAAACTAGAGAGAAGAGTTCAGAGTCCTGATGGCTATGGGAAAAAAACTGTTTGTGAAACGTTTGGTCTTGGTAGAGAATGACCTGTAGCGCCTCCCTGAAGGAAGGAGCTGGAAGAGGTGATGGGCAGGGTGTGAGGGATCGGAGATGATTTTCTTTGCTCGCTTAACAGTCCGATGTGTATAAAGGCAATCGACTGAGGGCAATGGTTTTCCTATAATCTTGGATGCTTTGTTGACGATCTGCTGTAATTTTTTCTTTGTTTGGCTGTCTGTGCTCCCATACCATACTGTCATTGATAATGTAATGATAGATTCAATAATAGCAGAGTAGAACAGAACAAGGAGCTGATGTTTGATCCGGTATTTTTTAAGCTGCCTGAGGAAATAAAGCCTTTGCTGAGCTTTTGCAATGATGTGTTTAGTATTAGTTGTCCACTTCAGGTTATTGCTAATGTGTGTTCCTAGGAATTTAAAGGAATCAGTGATGGTGATTGGGTTACCGTTTATATGTATGGGTGTTTTGGGAGATGGCCTACGTCTAAAATCAATCATTAGTTCCTGGGTTTTGGCAGTGTTAAGCTGAAGGTCATTATTCGAACACCAGTTTACCGCTTGATCCACCACCATGCGGTACTGGGTTTCATCGTTTTCTGAGATGAGGCCTACAATGGTTGTGTCGTCCGCATACGTTATTGTTTTAACTGAAGTGTCCATGGATGCAAAATATGCTGTGTAAAGGGAAAAGAGCCAAGGGGAGAGAACACAGCCCTGAGGAGCTCCTGTACTAAGGGAGAGAGGGTGTG